GGACAGTACTTGACACAGCGTCAAATAGAATATGCAGTACGTCGTTACAAAGGCCACCAGACTATACCGCAATCTGTTTAGATGATCTTGATTGAAAAAAATCACGAAAAAAATAAAAAAAATACTTGCGCGGCCTCCTAAACCTGCAATAACCAATTGAGACAGTTGTAGAGTTAAGATGTCCGCTACCATAGTTACTTTTATTACAATTTTATCAGATACAATTCCATTTTCGAATTGTACAAAAATTAAGATACACATTTGGTGGAAATCGTGAATTTAAAAATATATGTCGAAGTACTTGGCATTCGTGAAGTCCGCTAGGATACGTGGTGCACCTAGGCTGCTAGCTACAGTTAGAGATTGTGAAAAGCATACATTCTAAATCTAATAATATGAGCTGAAGCAAACTTGATAACTAGTTTCGTGAAAGTCTCTTGGATTCGCTCCTGATTGGAACGTACAAACCCAGCTTCTGTGTGTCTGTTCACGCGAACTCTATTAGTCAAAACTGTCTCTGAGCGAAGTGCATGGCGACCTGGTTGCAATAGCAAAGAACGTTGATTTTTTTGCCAGATTATGTACAATCCATGAATAAGAGCAGAATTACTTTTATTCTGCACGTATCAAAATAGATTACTATTTTCAGTAGCCGGAGCCTCAGTCTAACCACCCGTCAGAACCTGATTAGATTTTGTCATGAGCGCCTTCTTCCCAACCATCGCGTCACTTAACCCCGCTGCTCCTTCGTCCGCAGCATCCAAGACGCGCTGCACCTCAATCTTGGCCACCTCGGCTGTGAAGTGGAATGCGCGTCTCTCGCACGATCCCATCCACGACAATGCGTATTACGGCAAGTGCATGATTGGTGGTATACTCTCTTGTGGACTTACGCACACGGGCATCACCCCACTTGATGTCGTTAAGTGTAACATGCAAGTAAATTCCGCCAAATATAGCGGTCTAATGCCGGGTCTTAAGACCATTGCGTCTGAGGAGGGTGCTGGCGCTTTGTTTAAGGGATGGGCTCCTACCGCCATTGGATATTCTGCCCAAGGAATGTGCAAGTTCGGCTTTTACGAGTTTTTTAAAGATTTTTACAGCAGTATTGCCGGTGAAGAAAATGCTTACAAGTATCGAGGAGCCATTTATTTGGCCGGATCAGCCTCGGCTGAATTTTTCGCCGATATGGCCTTGTGCCCTATGGAGATGGTCAAGGTAAAGGTTCAGACTTCACCCGCGGGAACTTTTCCAGTGGAATTTGGAGCTGCTGTAACTGCGATGAAGGCTAACTCAGCCGAAACTCGCTTTCCATTTGGATCGTTGGTTCCATTGTGGTCCCGTCAGATCCCATACACGATGGCTAAATTCTTTTTCTTTGAGAAGGTGGTGGAAGCTTTCTACACCTACGTCTTCACGGAGCCGAAGAGCTCTTACCCGAAAAGCACGCAGCTTGGTGTTACTTTTGCTTCCGGTTATCTGGCTGGTGTCATTTGCGCCATTGTGTCTCACCCAGCCGACTCAGTTGTGTCGCTGATGGGTAAGGCTGAGAATAAAGGAAAGGGATTTGGCCAGATTGCTAGCGAAGCTGGCTTGGTTAACTTGGCTACCAAAGGTCTGGGAACGCGCATCATCATGATTGGTACGCTGACGGGCGCGCAGTGGTGGATTTATGACACGTTCAAGACGGTCATGGGCATGGGCACGAGTGGTGGTGCTGCCCCGAAGAAGCATTAGCTGCGATCTTGTTCATACGGGTACGGTTTCGATTGTTCGGAAATATAGTTTCAGAGGCTTAAGCAGGTCTTTCCCGTACTTAATGGTGCTGAGAAAACCGCCATTCGCGGTGCAAACTGCTTTTAGAATACATTCATCCTAAGCGATGCATAGAAGCCTATAAATGCAGGTTAAGCTATGCAACGAAAGAAATGGAAGAATCTTTCTCTTGTCATTTTGCACATATTTTCATTGAGCTTTTACGTTTATTTTTGCAGCTTGAAGTAATTCACGCCGTTTCCACTTTATAATCGGACGTTCAATTTAAGCGGATTGGTCATGAAGACCCCGTGCATCCTTCCTAGGTAAAAAACAGAGTATGTACGGCCATCAAAACAAGCGCACCAGCCACATATGGACTCTTTCGTTCCCCAATACGTGAAGCCTTCCAACACAAACCACCCAAACCTTCGTGCTTGCCTGGCATCTGGCCCCGATCGAAAAGCGTGGGAAACTTCATCTTGATGTAGGTGCAAGTGCAAATGAAAAGCAAAATGACGGTTAGAAGTCCTTGGAGATTAAATAGAGCAGACTACAAGTAAAGGTGTACATGTTAGCCTATCATAAAGTCCTAGCCAGAGTAGAGTGACTTGCCATGTTTCCTTGATGCTTTATGAAAACCAATGCAAGCATGCAATCGTACTTAGTGTTCATTTTATCTTGGTATTAAAAACTACAGCCGCTATAGTACCGGTTCTAGCTGGTGCTAAATTTGGTATTGCATCTTTCACCACTCAATCAGACACAACGATGTTCATGCTCAAGAAGAAGAAACCGCAAGTCGACAGCACCAAACAAATAAAACTGGCGCTTTGGGAATTAACCAAGATTACCATTGTTTTTGTCGGCATCCGTGCATCATCGTTTTTCCTTAATCAGGCAAGCTAGTGGAGACCTAATCAAGGATTTGGAGAACTGTACGACTTCTAAGCTACATTCAGATGTTTTAAAATCATAACAAAGCAAGTTGGTTCTGATGGGATTTCTAGCTTGTGAGTATATTGATCTCCTCTTCCTGATCTTCCTCAACTTCTTCATCCTCATCAACCTGTGTAAACGAATCTAGTGCAATGTTGCATTTGTTTACGAGCACGTTTAGGGCCTCTAGCAGAAGCTCCTCTGGCTTGATCATTCCAACAGACTCGATACTAAAGATAAAGTGGTCAGCTTGACGTCCTAAGCGAATCTTTTTGTCCCAGCCAGGCTCACGAATACAGTTTCGGCACATTGTGCAGGCGCGTTGATCTTTCACAACAATACTTTGAACGCCTCCCACATCTTCAATGTCGAACAAATTTACCGGACAATTTTCCATCAAGCTCACAGCGTCCGCGCCCTCAATTTTCTCTGATAGCTCCACCTTCGGCATCAACCGATATGACGCAGTGGCAACGGGCGAAAATTTAGCATGATCCTTTCCAATGCCTTTGCGACAGTGTGCCTCCAGTGCTAAGCTCTGACCAGGTCTCAATTTTGCAATCAGAATATCATCATGTACGGGTCGAATCAAGCCAAATCGCTCCTCCTGGTTTCCTTGCGGCACCCACTCGAGATCGCGCGAGTATACTATGCATATGAAAAATAATTGTCACCAGACGATGTGCAACATTGAATAAAAACACGCGTACCAGAAGAGAAAATTGCCTTGGTTGGATCTTTTGGATGTTCAGGGTCGAACTTGCACGTTACGTCGAGCTTAAAGACGATAGTGTTTTCGTCCGTAGCCTCGGCCTCTTCATTGTCTGAAAATCCCTGGAACTCACGCGGATCCACATTGAGAGGTACGAGGCCAAGTCGGTGGGCGAGCACCTCATCCTGGATAATAGACGAGTTGTTCCAGATGTACACATGCTCGATGGCCATAGTGGGAACCTCGGCCAATAAAATACGACGCAGGGCATTGGCGATAGCAGCGTCGATGCCGATAAGATCAAAGATAATACTATCTTCCGTCAAGCGCTGAAGTTTAATCTTTACTTTACTTTTGGATTGATCCACGAAGCTGTAGCTGCTCTTGCTGCCTACATCGGGCTTTTGTATTTTTTGCAGGGTCAGACGCGTCAAAGAATATCAAACATCATGAAGAAAGAACCATCGCTCACCTGGTGCGGCGCATCCAAGCCGACACGAATGACTTTAGCGGCCTTTCCCATTTGTTCTGTTGATTTTACTTTATACATTATTGGCCAGCCATTCAATCGTACTTATAATGGTCGTGTTTGATAAGAACTTTTCAGACGATAATTAAGTCAGTTATATTCCTCGCTATTGAGAACGAATTGGCTGACGCAATCTTGCGGATTCGTATAACTTTTCGCTGTCACAATGCACGCGACGTGATGACTGCTTTATCATGTACAGCACTACAGCTTCAGGTTTTATCTTTTGGTTCATCAAGCCCCAGCTGCATAGCCTCAGCACCGATTCGCCAACAAGATATAGCAGTTCATTTTGAGACCCATGTTGCCCACGTTAATCAACATTTCTTGGGAGCTGCAAGTATGACATTTAAGCCTTGACTATGGACTCACCCAGAAGGGCTCCGTATATGCAGTATTAATAAGCCAGCGATGTTTTGATGGATTTCTGCCGATTGAAGCTTTGATGCGCCGGAGAGCGGCCTCTATTCTATATCGCCGCTTCCAAGCTCGTCGTTTCCGAAGTTGTTTTCTGCATCTTGGCAATCACCAAGAAAAATCAATTTAGTCGGCAACTCACCATCATCGAATTCAAAATCTGCCGTGTGGTTCCCACGATATCATTTCTAATAACTCATAACTCAGGCACACAGAACACAGAACACAGCTCATTTTTACAAAGGAGTAGCAACCAAATTGGCATCTGACTACTCTATTTTTTTCTCCTAGCATGAGTAAGAGTTAGCCTCGCATCTAGCCTTACTTAGTGTAGGTAATTTTTCGAGTCTTTAGTGGCGCCCATTTCAGACGCTTGTAGTAGCCAGTCAAAGCACACAGTGTCAGCAGAGCAATAGTCGTCTGCATGCCCTGCTTCTTCCGCACGTCGTGCTCAGGCTCAGAAGCCCACGCAAGGAAAACTGACACGTCCTTAGCCATTTGAGAAGTGGTGCATAACGTCTTGTCTTCATACTCAATCTGGCCATCTTGTAACTGGCGCTCCATAGCGATCGCGCCACCGCCAAAATACGGATTATAGTAAAGACCTGGTAGCAGCTCCGTGCCCTCGGGAGGGTCAACATAGCCAGTCAACAGCGCGAACAAATAATCGACACCAGCATGGCGAGATTTCACTATCAGCGAAAGATCAGGAGGTATAGCGCCATTATTGGCTGCGGCTGCAGCCTCGTCGTTTGGGTACGGTCGTGGGAGCGGGTCTGAAAGCTTACCGGGGCGCTCAAACATCTCACCCTCATCGTTCGGGCCATCAACAACATCTATATCAGCCGCAATGGCTTTGACCTCCTCTTCGGTGTGAGTGACTCCAACCAGATTGCGAAAGCAAATACGATCTAAACTGTGACAGGATGCGCAAACTTCGCGATACACCTGGTACCCACGACGTACACTGGCATAGTCAAACGAAGACAGCGGGCTCTGGTGATCAAATCCGTAATGCAGCGCTTCGATCTGGTCACTGCTTAAGGCAGTGACCCCTGTGACCACTGAGCCGCCCAACAAAGCACCAGCACCCATCTGCAATAGAATAAAGTAAGTCAATTTCTAATCATGACAGTGGGGGGCCAAACGAGCAACATCAAAGCGCATAGCGCACTAATTCTAACAAATGTGTAGCAACAACCTTAGCCGCGCGTTGCAGCAACTTGGCCCGGTTCATCATCGTGTCGAACTATCTCGCTAGTCTCGACGGTTCCGTGGCTGTGTGCGTGTGAGGCACAGTGTATTGTCCCCCTTTTTCCAGATATAAAACCTCTCTTTGTCTCAGTACGTCGCCTCTCCCAATTTTTTGATCAATGTTGGTGATTTTTCTCGAGGTCACCTTTTTTAGGGTTTACTACATAGCTTTTTGCAAAAAAAAATATATTTGTATCGTATTCGGAGGTTAAGTAGATTCGTACTTCGTAAAAAAAGTTGTATGCCTCACGTAATGCAGTACATTTAAGACATATACTATTTATAAGTCACCTTGAAATTAATCAGAGCACAGTATTCGAGAGGCGCTCGGCTCCAATTCTGGATGAAGCGTACGAACTCAACCTCTTTGCGTTGTGGGCGCAAAATCTTCGAGTCAAATAAACCTCTGTACATAGTGAACGGCTACCGATTGCACTTGATAGTATGAATATCAATCCGATGACCGAGTTAACAGAAAACTAGATTTTCGGTGAGGATGGGGGACGTGCTGTTTGGCTCTCTGTCGTCATGACAACTAGTTAATCTTAATAAGCTTTTGTCTTTGCAAGGCGTAGTAGGATTAACGGCCCTAGGTCTGGATACGGTGATGAAATAAATGCGTTAATGCGTTATTTAGAAACGAAGCGCTGTTAGACAACTCCAGCAAGACCTCAATCACTTGTTACGGCACTCACTGTAATGCTGCTGATGCTAAGCGTCTAGCTCTCTGGGGTTATGGTGTAAAATCTCTTCGGGGGAAAAGGACGAGATGACCATAAATACGGCCATGCACCAGATGGAGCAAAAGCGCATCAAGCTTGCGATCTCAGAGCTTTGGAGGCAGACCTCCTTCGGAGCTGGTAACTGTAACGGTGTTACACGAACCCTGGTATGAAGGGGTTAGTCACAAAAGATGGTGTGATCCACAATGGTGCGGCTACACCTTAACAAAAAAAACTTCGTGGCGGGGCTGCCAGTAGTTATGCATTTAAATTGAGGTTATACTATTTAATCAGGAGAAACTATAGATTTGGATCTAGGCGGCTCTGTCGCAAATAAGACAAAAAATACAGCTTACACTTTGAACGGAAGAGTGCACTTCCTTGGGTTAAGGTTGTGGGCTCTCTTGGAGTTAGCGGACTGCGATCCGCTACCCTCATACCGGTTCCGGTATAGAACATAAGGTCTGTGATCTTAGCGTAACTTCCTCTAACCAAAGAGCTACGGCAGCCCCATTGCAGTAACACTTAACATTGATGAAGGGTCTTCTAATAGATGCGACTCTCAACGAAATTTTCCCTGTAAACAGGCCTATACTGTAATCTTGAGTATAACCCTCACTATCATGGGAATTTCCCGTCCGACTACACGCACTTATTGAGTAGAAGTTAAAAATGTTTACACGCTTCACTGCGCTCACTTCTAGCGAGCCGTTAATGTACTTAAAAGAGGAGATAAGTGTAATGGTGTAGGTCCCATAACACATGTTGTGTGGATCACATACTTCGTGTGTCTGACTTTAACTGTATGGTTATATATCCTGTTACATCAGAAATAGGATCGCTTATCAGGTTAGGAAGGCTAAAAGCCAATTGGTTACAATAGTGTAAAAGGGCGCTGTTCACAAACAGTCCCTCAACCACAATACACACGCTTGTGCGACGATGAAGCGATTCCCGACGTGGAGGGAGAAGGATAGTCCCGACTTGACTGGAAGGGAGAAGGATAGTCTTGATTTGGACGGAAGAAGAACGACGAAAGCCTTTTGAGGCAAATTTGCATTGTATCACTTGAAGCTGAGGTTTAAGCTCAGTACACCCTTGATATATTAATCAGAACCTCAAAGATTTATTAGTAATAATTCTAGAAGCCCTTGGGGTGTTTTGCATGTAGCTAGGAACCATAACACATTTAAATTTAGTTGCAAGTTCAAGCTTTCGTAAAAAATTATCCAGTAGAAGGGACTGGCTTACGCCACCCACTCCTAAGGACAGAGACACGTCAGTCTCGTCACCAGTACTAATCCCCAGGTAGGAACCGGCATTTTGTATCACACAAAATGTTTGTGGCTTCATATATAAAATCACGTATGCATTTGGGAACACCATACTGTAATCTTCTTTTACTGATTCCCACAATGCATACAGAAGGTACATAAATTGTACATTTAGTACATTCATGTAATGGCTTTGTGTAGCCCATTGCATCATCCCCTCCTTAAAGGTAAAAATACCTTGATACTTTTGCAGATCTTTTTGGAGCAGTTCACTTTTCGATCAACAATGAAGCGATCCAATGAACAAGCCATCATAAAAGAGCGTTCTTTGCCGTTTAGGCAAAGAACAGTTCCAGAACTATTTGTTCCATTCTCAACCGAAATGGAGACAAGAGGTTCTGCATGAATCGTTTCTTTTGTTGGCGTTGGATCAACGATTTATGTTGCTGCGAACCACATCGGGGACCTCAGACTCTAATGCCTGGAAAGATTTGCACGGGTCTGAGCCCAATGGAATCCCGCACCACCGAACTCTGTAGAAGCGTTGATGGTTAAACTGCTTCTTTCCACGATGACGATCCTCGCGATCGACAATCGTCTCAACCACCCAACGACGCTGTCCACGAGAGTTTGAATAGCGACGTGGGGCTGAACGTGAAAACGATGGCGCGTCTACGGAGGTGGAAGAGGGCTCATCGTGGGCAAATTGATTGATGCATTGAAACAGCGCTGCTTGACGCTTGAAGATGCTACTAGACCCATTCGAACATTGTTGCAGAGCAGAACTCGAATCTCGACGTTCTGACTGACAATCCCGTCCAATATTAGGAATCGGATTCCTGTTTTTAGCTACGGTTTCAACAGGCTCAAAGTTAAACTTGTTTACCTCCGAAAGAACGAAAACGTGAGATGGCTCATAAACACCGTCTACAAAGAGTAACCAACACTTTACCCTGGAGACTCTTCTCGGGGTACAGGCATTGAAAGACATCGAAAGATTGCTCCTTGGCTGATTCCAACGCTTGAAGGCGAGAATGGTACTCATCACGCATTACCTCGAGAGCAGAGCATGCCTCTTCAGCAAATGATAAAACTTCATCATCAGCTCGATCATCTACCAAAGGTAGAGTAGGATCGACTAATCCACTCGGAAGATACGACTTTAGCCCACCCACATAAAATGTATGATGTAGGCGCAAGCGTGTAGGGACGGCTAAAGTAAACGTTGCATGTTATCACCTTGATCGGTCCAATGAATCTTGGTGAAGTCCCACTGCTTCCCAAGTTAAACACTGCATGCTGAGGCGATTTGTCGTGCTAAGTAGTACAAGATCATTGACCTTAAATACCTTCTTGTTCTTCCTTCCTCTCATATCCGCTTACTCTTTTTGTAGGTCCTGAGATTTCGAAATTGCATCTCGAACAAACCGAACAACGGCTTGTCTCTTCACAATAAAGTCATTGACGTGCTGTTCTTCACGACTTGTCATGTCGTCAAATGTCTAATTGAGCCAAAATTTTCTTCAAATTCTGTGACAGCACTTTGAGTCTGACTGTGGCTCTATAGCCATAATTCCCACCCACATAAGGTAGAGACCTCGCCTATTATGGAAGCAGGCACTATAGATTGGATACCATTGTTCACATACAACGGCGAATGACATGCCGAGACATGCGTGGAGTTGTTCAACGAAAACTCTGCAAGATGGAGAAATTCACTCCACTCCTTGAACGACGTAGCAAAGTTTACGTAGTACGTCCTCCATAATTTGATTCACACGCTCTGTTTGACCGTCCGTTTCAAGGTGTGCCGCTGTTGACATGGACAATATGGTGCCCAAAAGTCCAAACACTGTACGCCATAATTTCGACGTAAAACTGGTGTAACGGTCAGATACGATCTCACCAAGAAGGCCATGGCGACGGAAAATAACGTTCTCAATAATCTTAGCTGTCTTCTCGACAGAGATCCTGTCCGAAACAGGCGCAAGATGAACCGTCTTCCAGAATCGGCCGAGAAGAGAAAAGAAGAGCAGTAAAGGAAGGATGCCACTGCGTACTTGTGTGTCGCGCAAAATTCCGAATATAAAGTTAAAGCTCACAGACTTCCAGCTATCGGTTAGCACTGCCAATGTGGGGCCTGTGTGAAAACCGATGGTTTCACTCTCTGGCAAAACACCCACTTATACATGTATGACCAATAGTTACCCTGGGAAAGACTGAGAAACGTTTTCTCGCGTCCAGGATGGCCAGTCATGGTACTCATATAAGCGATAATGACGCAAATTTTCGTCATTTTTGGAACAACAACTCTTGCTGTATCCGTCGTTTACTTCAAAACGGTGAGCACGCGAACTTGTGCGAGACGGAAGACCTTGCAATGCTTTTTCGGAAGGGTCGGTTAAACACCTCAACAAGTCCTGACATGTCTAATCAGACTCGTACCCTTTGACGATCTATTCGCACACTGAAGTCGTAGCTCGCACCTGATCATCTGAACATCTTTACATTGTCGACATGACTCATGCATGTCTTCGCTCCTGGACTTTGGATCATAGTCCGGACGTCTTGACGGCGCATCGGCTAAGATGTTCGTCTTGCCTGGCTTGTAGTGTACAACAAAGTTGTACTCCGCAAAGACAAAATACCATCGCCATTCTTTGCGATAAATGAGGAGTCTTCACTGCCGTACGGAGTGAGGCATGATCTGTATGGATCTCAAAGCGCGCCTCTCCAACCAAGTGCACACCGAATTTGACCAAAGAATACTTCATTGCTGGATATATATGAGACCAGAGTCCGGGTGTCATACAGCGCATCGGCTAAGATCTTCGTCTTGCCTGGCTTGTAGTGTACAACAAAGTTGTACTCCGCAAAGAAAGAGAACCATCGAGTCAGTTTTTGTGATAAATGAGGAGGCTTTGCTGCCGTGTGCAATGGGGCATGATCTATATAAATCACAAAAGCGCTCCTCTCAAAGCAAGTACACA